AGGACTTGAAATACGTACTGATGAATATCAAAGACTACAGTCTTCAGTGTAGATTGCACCTCAATGTAAAGAAAACAAAAACCCTCACAAGTGGACTGAAAAATAGCATCATGATAAATGGAGAAAAGATTGAAGTTGTCAAAGACTTCATTTTGCTTGGATCCACCATTAACACTCATTGTAGCAGCCATAAAGAAATCAAAGAACTTCTTTCTTTTAAGTGTTCTAGAGCAAAGACGTCAGTTTGAGGACTAAAGAGAACCTAATCCAAGCCGCAGTATTTTCAATAGGATCAGCACTGGACTGTGAACCATGGGTCGGCAGTTCAAACCCACCAGCAGCTCTTTGGAAACCCTATACAGGGTCGCTATGTGTCAAAACTGATTAATTGACACTTAGCAACAACAACATTTGCATATGAAAGCTGGACAGTGAATAAGGAAGACTGTAGAAGAATTGATGCTTATGAATTATAGTATTGGAGACAAATATTGAAAGTACTATGGGCTGCTAGAAGAACTAACAAGTCTGTCTTAGAACAAGTATAGCCAGAATGCTCCTTAGAAGTGACAATGGCAAGACTTTGTCTCTTGTGCTTTGGATATAGTATCAGGAAGGACCAGTTCCTGAAGTAGGACACCGTGCTTGGAAAAGTAGAGAACCAGCGAAAAAGACTCCCAGTTAGATAGACACAGTGGCAACAATAATATGCTCAAATGTAACAATTGTGAGGATTGCGCATGACCGGGTCATTATTTCATTCTGATATGCAGTGAGTTGCTGTGAGTTGGAACTAACTCGATGACACCTAACAACTAACAACAAATGATTTATTAAAGGAGTTCTGGTGCTGCAGTGCTTAAGCACTCAACTGCTAGCCAAAAGGTCAGTGGTTCAAACATACCAGCTGCTCTGCAGAAGAAAGATGTGGCAGTCTGCTTCCATAAAGATTTACAGACTTGGAAACCCTATGGGGCTTTTCTACTCTGTCCTCCAGAGTCACTGTGGGTCAGAAATGGCTCAACAGCAATAGATTTTAAAAATTATTTATTATAAACACTCTATAATGAATAGTGATATGGATGTGTGCCCATCGACCTTGAAAATTTTAATTTCTTATAGAGTCCTGGAGTGGTGGTGCAGGATAGTGCTGGACCGCAAGGTCAGTCTGAGCTGTGAGGTCAACAGTTCAAACCCACCAGCTGCTCCTCAGAAACCCTATACAGAGTATAGAACCTACTCAATGGCACTTAACAACAATATAGCATAATAGTAAGTGCTACCAATGAATTCTAGAAACTACTGCTGGAAAAGCTCTGTGAGACATTGGATTTCAGAAACAGAAATTCCATTCCTTTTGTTTCAAGACAACTATGCCCCCTCTTTCTTGAGGGGATGTGGGGGTTGGTAGGAATAAAGAACGAGGTTTAGGCTTGGGACTATGGCTACATCTAGGCTTGGCCTAGCACTTCATTTACTGTTAGGTTTATAGTTAGGAAATAGGGTTAGTGCTAAGAGTAAAAGTTGGTCTGGGGGAAGTAGTAAGGCTTAGTCTAGTTTTCAGGGTCACAGTTAGGTTTATTTTTACTTTTTCTTAAAATCTATTTGATTTTTCTCTTCACTTGGAAATTCTGTAACTGGATTATTACCTCTTTTTACTTCATTGGAGCTTTTGTTGCTGTTGTTGCAACTGTATCTTTGGTTCTCTCTTTTTGGTCGTATAGGTCTGTTTTACTTTGCATACATTTATATCTGGGTTGAATCTAGGTGATACTATCATGTATGTTAGTGTTAGGTTGTTCTTTGCTGTTGTTGGTCTCTGTCCAAACAACTCATTTTGGTAATTTTATTTTTGTAAGGTTGGTCTGGTTTTTTACAAATTCTTTTAATTTTGTTTCTCTGAAAATGATCTAATTTCACCGTTATAAATGATGGACAATTTTGCTGGATTTATGTTTCTTGGTTGGCAATTTTATTTTTTTTCTTTCAGTTTTATATATGTCATTCTATTATCTTCATGCCTGCATGGTTTCTTCTGAGAAATCAGAGCTTAGTCATATTAATTCTTCTTCATAGGTAACTTTTCCCTTTTCCTGAACTGCTTTCAGGAGTCTTTCCTTGTTTTTGGTTTTGAAAAGCTTGATTACATTATGTCTTGGTGTTTTTCATTTGGGGTCTATCCTGTTTGGAGTGAAATTTTAAATTATGTGTGATGAAAGTGTTTTGTGTCCTTTATTTCCAGGGTACAAATAGTACAGGACAAACCGAAACTCTGCAGCACCAGCAAGTAAAAGCCACCTTTTAAACTTGTCCCTCTTTTAAGGTCTGAAGTTTGTTTTATCTCTGCCAGTTTGTACAAGTTCTGTTTCTTACATTCCTGAACTGACTCTTCTAGGGCCTTCTGCTGATTGGTTCTGTGCCTCAGGGTTTGTAATTATCGACAGGTCTTTGTTTGATCAGCAGTTGATATTTTACTTGGCGACTTCAATCCTCTTTGTCAATTAATTTTGCTCAGCTTCCACACCTTTATTTCACTCACTGACTCATCCCCATCCAGTGTTAATCTTTGTTTTTGTACTCGGATTCTTTTTCCCAGCAATCCCACTTAGAGTTTGATAAGTGTGATTATATAAATATGTATACATTTATTAAATCTATGTCTTGTCATTTACTAAAATGTTTTTCATCTGGCATATGTGCATGACATTCTAGATCACCCTGGAGAAGGCCAAGTAATATATCCTTGCCATAATGCAGTGTGAGCCCCAGTCCCCACCGGATGAACTGACATTAATTCATAACACTGAGCTATATGTCAGACATGCCCAGAACATGACTGCAGTACAGAGCTTTTCTGTGAACTCTACTTTTAATGATTTGAGCCACAGACATTATGAGCCCCAAATGACAGAAATAAGGGAAAACTAGCTTATTGCATGGAAATGTGAATGAGACACTGAACTAGAATGAATTATAGCTCAGTTTCTTGTTTTGGGGTTCTCTAGGCCCTTTGAAAAAGTTATATTTTGGTTTGTAAGAACTTGCCCTTTTCCCTTAGATCATGTGAGACCCCAGTCCACATCACTGACCTCAGCAAAAGTCATAGCAGCAGATGCTGCTTGAGGTGAAGAAAGGAGACCATGAGTTAAGAATGTTGGGTCACTTGATTCCCTGCAGAGAACCTGAGCAGCTCACTGCATCCACATCCCTTTGGTGACCCTCTTCTATAAACAGAAATATGCATTCTTGCTACTGGATCCCTTTCGTCAAGTGTCTTAGGCTCACTGAATGAAAAGTCCTATAAAAAGGCACTGCGGCCCTAATAATATCAGATCCGATTGTGATAGCTATTTTAGGCCAGAGCAGCTTTGTGCCGCTCTTGATCTCCATCGATGTTTGCCATTCTTGCCCTGCTATTACCTTTCAGACTTCCTATTCTTAGAAGCGTTCGTGAGCCCTGGGCATGGGGGATTGCAGCCCCCAGGGGTGGAATGCCTAGCTTGAGTGGAATGTAGACTGTCTGGCAGAGTGGAGGTTAAATAAAGTTTGCCTTGGCAGCCCTCTCTGTTCTTGGATGGGGGTCAAGTAACTTGGGTGTAGGAGTGACGGCATAAGCTGCCATGTGTTGTGGTACCAAAGGGATTCTCACATGCATGAGTGGCAGTGGTTTACCAGGTGTTTAACCATGGCCAGCATAGCCATGCTATCTCAACCATGTGTATATTAAGGATATTTTGGTAGTCTTGAACCTCTAGACCATTCGCTTTGAAAAAAATGCAGAAAGAAAGAATAAATAACAATGGAACTCAGGAATCTTCCAGCACCTCCAGATTTGGTGCATTTGCTACTTTAGGGTTATTGACTCATTGTTAAAAGTAAGCCAAAGGAAAACACCATTGTAACAAGAACGGTTATCAGTCAATCAACAAGTATAAGACACGGTTACTACTCTTCTAGAACTTACAATTTAGTTGGAAAAGTAGAGTGGCAAACATATGAGAAAATTCTTAATATTACAAAGTAAAATATGACTTATAATCAGTGCTCGGAGTCCTGGTGCAGCACTGTGCTACAAATTTAATGCCCTGGACTACGAAGTCGGTTTGAACTGCAAGGTCAGCTGTGCAAGCTTACCAGCCATTCCTTGGAAACCCTGTACATGGTTGCAGTGGGTCAGAACTGACTTGACAGCACTTGCCAACAACCAACAACAACAATCGGTGCTATAGAACTAAGTTCCAGAGAAGTTGTAAGGGGTGGGAGAGCACATCTAGCTGTGATTGTCAGACGGAACTTCATAGATGAGGCTGGTTTAAATAGGTCTTGCCTGGAAGGCAAGCTACAGCAGGCTATCCTGATAAAGAGGAGAGGCCTTGTCAGTGAGTGGCCAGCTGGGAAGTAAAGGGAAGACATCAGAAAGCCTCAGCACAGGGCATGGGAACTTGAAGACAAGTGGATGTAAATGGAGTGGTGCAGGAGGGGGACTTGTCTACAGTTACCATCCCTTACCGGTAAAAGCTGTGCCTGAGGAACGCTGGAAAGGTTTAGGTGACAAGATTTAGCAAGAGACCTATTCAGTGTTCTGTTCTATAAAACAATATGTGGTTCACAGTGGACCCTCAGTAAGTAACATCATGATTATTATTGTTATTTATTATCATCATCACTAATCTTCAAATGCTGTGATCCTAATTTTTGTTCTTGCTAACTTTGCTTTCCCCAATCCTGAGTGTGCAAAGAGCTGTGGTGGTGTCATTTGGCTGCTAACTACAAGTTTAGCTGTTCAACCCATCAGCCACTGCAAGACAGAAAGATGAGGCTCTTTGCTCCCGTAAAGATTTGCAGTATCTGAAACCCAAAGAGGCATTTGTACTCTGCCTTACAGGGTTTCTATAAGTCAGAAGCTTAATGACAATATGTCTCCTAATTGATCACATGGCTCATGCTTTGCCACACCCTCTCCTTCAGGTTTATCTGAGTTTGCTTCTCTTCCCCCACAGGTGGCTAGAGGTACAGGTAGCTAATCTAACATGTCCACAGCGCTGGCTACAGTACCTCCGACTTCTTCAGGAGTCCATCTGGCCTGGGGGGGTTTTGCCTGAATTACCTCGACCCATGAGGACCCACGAACAGAAGGTAGCTACTGAGAAACAGGCTTTGCAGAGCCTAATGGGAGTCCTGCCAGGTAATTGGACTGCTGAAATTGTGCACACTGATACCTGTTCCTTTCCCATCCTACTTGGTCATCCTTACCTCACCCTTGCCTCCCAGTTTGAAAAGGACCTTGAATGGAGCGCATACTGAAATACCTGCTGACCCTTCACTTCCTGGGCTAATAGGAAAATGATTGGAGTTGGATTCAGAGGATGCTGAGGCAGTGAAAGGGATCATTATGGCCAGACCCTAAATACTAAGGTGAACCCTGTAGCTATTTGGATAAATAACTTTTGGAAGACTTTGTGTCTCATACTTCAGATATATTATCAGAAGGGACAAGTTCCTAGAGAAGGACATCATGCTTGGTAAAGTGAAGGGTCAGCAAAAAAGAGGGAGCCCTCCAACGAGATGGATTGGCACAGTGGCAGCAGCAACAGGCTCAAATGTAGCAGCAATTATGAGGATGGCACAGAACCGGGCAGTGTTTCATTCTGTTGTGCATAGGGTCACTATCAGTCAGAATTGACTCAACAGCACCTAACGATGACAACTTTTAGGAGGGTCAGACATCTGTGCCTGTGCTGCAGGGACAGGTCTCTGAGACATTCCTGTCAGATGAAGACTTTGAGTGCTATGCCAATCGTCATTTTGGGACGAAGGAAGAAAATGATATGCCTCACAGAAGCTGAGATTTGATAAGCGGAGGCCATTGAGTCAAGTCCATGGTATTGGTAATAGGCAAGCACAAAGTCTGAAAACATTTTATTTACTTTGTGTTGTCTTTTAGCAGGCAAGGAAGACACTTGATTTCCTGTGGATGTGGCAGTCAGGAAGAAGTAGTAAACTTTTAGCCTGAACAATTAATTTTAAATTTCTTCTTTCAGTTTTTATTATTAACCCCTGTTCTCAGAGAAAAGAGCTACATTATAGTGACAGATTACAAAAGTATTTCTTGAGGCCCATTTTACTTGAATATTGAACTTAAGAAAAACACTTTTCTTATTTTTTCCCATTTTATGGAGATTGTAGTTGGCTGTATTATTTTGGAGAGCACTGGTGTGGAGTAGTGTAGAATAAGCACTGAACCAGTAGCCATAAGGTTGGCAGTTCAAATCCACCAGCTGCTCTCAAAAACCCTATACAGGGTCGCCATAATTTGGAACCAACTCAGTAGCACACAACAACAATAAATACTGTTTGGAGATAATATCAGAAGTATCCAACTTATGTAAATTTGACAGATCCATGAGATGGGGATGTCTCAAATATAACTAAGGAGATTAAGCATGTAAGTCTTCTTAGAATCTAAGGCTTAGATGATAACACAAAATCCCATCTGTTCTTCCTTACTAGATATTGTAGTAGAAATCCTTGGAGTGAACAAATGCCGGCTGAGCTGGGGCCTAGTCTTAGAGTCACTACAGCAACCCCTCATCAACAGGTAGGCTGAAAAATGTGTCTATGACATCATCATAGCAGAAGCCATCTTAGATCTCAGGACTGTCCAAGATTTCTAAGTGAAAAGGCCACATTCATAGAAGTGAGATGGTCTCCTTAACTTATCTCAGACCCCAACTGCAGAGCCTTGACTGTACACCCAAAGTAAAATCCATGCAGCCAGCCTCCTGACAGGTTGTCATGAGATTGTAGGCTACTGTTGGACCAGCCTCTGTTTGTATTTGGAAGAATTTGATGGTGGTCCTCCCATGAATTGTTGAGAATGCCGTATTATCCTCTGAGGTTCTTGATATGCTTAGGGCTCTTTTCAGCATCTGCCAGCTCCTATAATCACCACATGAACATATTCTGTACTTGTGTATTACAGGCTTGTGATGATTTTCACCATAGATTTGTATCCTTACTAGCACGACTATGATTAGTGTTATGATAAAGCACTGTCTTTGCCTCCTATGAAGCAGACAAGATAATGAGGCTGGAATAGAATAGAGGGCCCCAGCAAGACTATTCCACAAGATGTAGATATTTTCTGGTACTTGAAAACAAATGCTTCTGGAAAATATTGTACTCTTCTATTCTTCTCTCAAACTCTCCCAAAGTAGACTATACCTGTTAACTTTCACTCCTCCAGGGCCCTGGCTTTGCATCATTCCCTGTGTGTAGCCAGTGAGCTATAGTAATTGATTATAAGAAATACCAATAGTCAGAATATGAAGATTCCTAAAAACCTGATTTAGCTGTGGGGAATTTCGACTCACAGTTCTTCAGCAGAGTTAATGTACTAATGTGGCTATGGAATTTTCTAAAATCTAATCTCAACAAGTACTGTTTCTGGAGTTACAGTAATTTATACTAATTCAGCAAATATTTATTTCATGGCAGAAGCTTCATTCTACTATTTTCTTTTAGAACAATAAATATATCCACTTAAGGTTATCTGTAATCAGTGAGGGAGGGAAAGGAAAAGTAAATGTCATAAACAAGATCTGGTGTTTCTAGACTGAGACAGTACCCCCTCTAAGTTGTTTGTCCATTTGTTTTCAGGCATTTGATTTATTGCCTATGGGACATCATCCTGGAATTCTTGGATCTCAGAGTCTCTATTGAGGATTCTACGACAAGCACCTCTGCTTCAAATACTCCAGGCAGCCCCAAAAAGATGGATGTCTCTTCTCAACTATAGGCCATATACTTCTCAAAAGTTGGGAAAGGAGAGTTATCCACCACCCAATCAGGAAGCCTGCCCTCTGGGTTGAGGCTATAGCTCAGAAGGCCCATGGCCACAGTGGCACAGTGCTCTCCCAGTTCTCTTCCATTTGTAGCAGGTGACAGGTGGGCTATATGTGGACCAATTACATACATACCCATATCTAAAGTTCTTCTGTGGTGTTCAGATTGTTGCTGATTGATATATCCTGAATCCTTTGAAATAGGAAGCTGTCAGGTAGAGGAACAAACCCTGTTTGCCTCTCTCCTCACCCTCCTCCATAAAATATTTGTTTGCCTATAATCCGACCTGAGACATACACCTAATCTACCAACCTAGAAGATCTAGATAGAAGAGGAAGAAATGATAGCCAGATTTCCTGTGAGGAAAAGACAAATTCTTAGCTTTCTGTTTCTTCCAGGACACTGAAACTTCTTTCAGAATCACTCTTGAAGGCCAGTCCTCTGGGTCCTATCTAGTTTCCCAAGAATTTCAGGAGAAGAGGGAGGGAAAAGGTGTCACAAGGGACTGCTTACTCTTTGGCTGTTTTCTAATATAGCAGCCAGGTTAGGGTGTCATGAAGGCTGCTTCCCTGGGAGCTATACTTTCCTGTCCCAAAGACTTCTGGTAAATCCACTCACCCTTCACACCATTGCCTGGAATGGAGTGATATTACCACTTTTATTTATTTCCCTCCTTTGAACAATTGAGTTTTTGCCTTTGTGACTTTCTGTCTTCCTTTAACAAAGGAGCATGGCAAGTTGCATATTCAACCTTTAGCCCTTTGAGAAAAAAAGCCCCATAGCTGAGAATGCTCAAAGAGTAAGAAGGGCTGAGGTAGTCTCTCTTCGCAGGTTTCTGGCAGGAAACTTGTACTCTGGACAGAAAATATTAGCACATTTTAATTAACCCTGAAAAGCATGTTGTATCCTATTCTTTAAAGATCTAGTTAACCTTTTAAAGTCAGTGATGAAGGCAAAGGTGTCTGGTCAGGCTTCACTGTCTGTTAGAAAGATGAACAATTAAGAGGAAGTGCTGGTAGGAAAGGAGGCTGAGGGAAAGTCATGAGGGATGTACTACAAATTAGCAGCATGCCAATAGCTGGTGAAAGAGATGTAAAATGACCATGGGGAGACCTTTGCCCTCAGCCATCCATCTTCATCCCTCCCTGTGTGTACCTTGCTTTCATTGAATTTTGAGACTCTCCTACTTGGAAGAGGGTCTTAGACTTACACTGATAGGATTGAGGTCTGGTTCTCTTGCCTCTGAAGTAGATAATAAGTGCACAATTAAACTGGTTTGTAGAAGCAAGTTTCAAAGTCTCACCCTTATTGTCCCTCTCTATTGACTTTTGTCCAGAAAACCTGTTCCTATGGACTTGGGTTGCTTTCAATGTCTCCTACTTAGTAGTTAAGGTCAATGGTTCAAGCCATCAGCATTCCACAGGAGAAAGAAGTAGCAGTCTGCCTCTGTAAAGGTTTACAGCCTTGGAACCTGTATGAGGCACTTCTACTCTATTCTCTAGGGTTGCTTTGTGTCGTCGTGGACTGGTTGGCATTGGGTAGATGTGTCACTGCTTAAAGGCAAGGAGATGAATGAGGTAATGTCCCTTGCATCCTTAAGAGTTGATTAGACAGTGACTTTATAGCTCTGAAGTATTTCCAAACTTCTTCCCTACCCTTTCAGAAGCAGATAGAGCTTGGTGTTTCCACGGTTGGTGGATGCTTGCAAAGCATGGGATTATAGTGAGTGCTCCTGCCCTCCGAGCTGGGCTGGGATTGAGAACGCTGTATGGATGGGCGAGGTGGCCAGCCCTGTTGTCCACTGCCATTCACTCCCTATTCTCGCCTGCACATTTACTCTGGCACCAGTTCTGACCCAAAATACCACACACTCTCTGTGGCTATAAATTCTAAGGAATCTTTTGATACTTCCAGTCCAAAGTAAACTTCCTTTTATTTCATATTCTATAAGAGACTCCACCTCTATTCCACCTGCCCCCAAAAGATAAGTTGTCTTCAGACCCTCCTTCTACTCAGGAGGGAATTAATGGATACTGCCAAGGAGACAATCAAAACCTATCTGGCTCTGAAAACTGACATGCCAAGTTTGGGTAGCAGGTTCAGACAACAAGGGAAATCAGCATTTGGGAAAGATGCCCAAGTATCAGAAAAGATATCTCCCACCTAAGGGGGTGGTATAAGGCAAAGAAAAACTGGCTGTGTTTTTCTAACTGAGAACATTTTGCGTTTCCCTTTGCCCTACGTTCATATTCATACCCCATTGTTCTTACCATCCAACAATGGCGGTTCAGGTCTGGGTGGAATGAAAATATATATAAACATGAGCCCTGGCCTTATAATTAGCGTGCCTGAGACTAAAACGAAATCTACTAGGAAATATGCTTTTCTTTCCTAAAAGCAGTAAATGAATAGGTAAGCCCAGGAATGATTGATTCAGCAATTTCGTGACTACGTAAAGGCCCCAGATTGTTAGCATCTCTCTGCTCTGCCATTCAAAATATGTTAGCTAAGACTATCCTGTAGGGTAGTCACTGGGTCGCAAGGTCGGTTTGAACTGCAAGATGGACAGTTCAAACTCACCCGCTGTTCCTAGGAAACTCTCATAGGAGCACTATGAGTTAGAACTGACTTGACGGCACTTAACAACAACAAGGCTGCAGTTTCAGGCATCACAGCCTGGCATAACAAAACTCACGAAAGAACAGGAGCATCTCTTCCATGTTTTCTTTTAAAGAATAAGGAAACCATTTCCTTTTCTCTTCTTTTCAGAACTGCCCACCCCTGTGCCAATCAACTGACATTGAAAATGGTCTTAACACAATTGGCTTGTAATAGTATTTACTGCTGAGGAAGGGACACCCTTTATGAAGTTGATTGTCATTAAGTGCCACTGGATCAGTTCCAACTCAAAGTGACCCTGTATAGGGTTTCTGAGGAGCGGCCAGTGGGTTTGAACCACCAACCTTGCGGTTAATAGTTAGTGCTTATCTGACAGTGCCACACCAGGACCCTTTCATGAAGTTTACTTACCTGAAAAACTAAGTGGATTAAGTAAGGAAGAATCAGAGAATTGGTGTGGTTAAACAGTGTCACTCTGCCAATATTCAACAGCTCCCCCATGGTGCTCTAAAAACATCAAGTACCATCTGAGAGCACCATTTGAAGCACTTTACTTAGATTAACTTATTTAGCCTATCCATCAATCCTGTGAGGTAGAGTCTATTATACATTTTCACTTTAGAGATGGTGAACATGAGGCATAGACAGGTAGTGACTTGCTCACAATCACTTGTAAGGAACTGGCAGAGTCAAATGCCAATCTTCCTCCCAGGTTCACGTGCATAATCACTATACTAAACTGCCGTTCTGTCTTACTAAGTAAAATAAGACCAGGCTGTTGCTGGTCTAAGTCAGTCCAAGGTGGAGGCACTAACAAAGAACAAGGCTATGGGAACTGATGGAATACAAATTGAAATCTTGGAACAAACTGAAGCAGCACTGGAGGTCCTCACTCTCCTATGCCAAGACGTTTGGAAGGAAGCTACCTGGCCAACTGACTGGAAGAGATCCATAGTTGTGCACATTCCAAAGAGAGGTAACCCAATGGAATGCAGAAATCACTGAAAAATATCATTAATATCGCATACAAGCAAAATTTTGCTAAAAATAATTTTAAAATGGCTGCAACAATACACTGACAGAGAACTGCCAGAAGCTCAAGTCAGGTTCAGATGAGGACGTGGAAAGAAGAGTATCATTGCTGACATCAGATAGATCTTTGCTGAAAACAGAGAATACCAGAAAGATGGTTAGCTGTGCTTTGTTGACTATGCAAAGACTTTCAATGGTGTAGATCATGACAAAGTATGGATAACATTTCGAATAATGGGTATTCCGGAACACTTAATTGTGCTTATAAAGAACCAAGAGGTAGTCATTCACACAGAAAAAGGGGACACTGAATGGTTTAAAATCAGAAAAGGTGTGTGCAAGGGTTGTATTTTTTCACCATGTTTATTCAATCTGTATGCTGAGCAAATAATTCAAGAGACTGGAGTATATGAGGAAGAACATGGCATCAGCTTTGAAGGAAGACTCACTAGCAACCACAATATGTAGATGCTACAACCTTGCTTGCAGAAAGCGAAAAGGACTTAAAATACTTACTGATGATGATCAAAGATCACAGCCTTCACTATGGGGTGTAACTCAATATAAAGAAAACAAACTAATAAATAGCATCATGATAAATGGAGAAAAGATTGAAGTTGTCAAAGACTTTATTTGGATCCACTAGCAAGACTCATGGAAGTAGCAGTCAAGAAGTCACATGACGTATTGTTGCACCAGGCAAATCTGCTGCACAAGACCTCTTTAAAGTGTTGAAGAGCTAAGATGTCAGTTTGAGGCTTAAGGTATGCCTGACCTGAACTATGGTATTTTCAATAGCCTCAAATGCATGTGAAAGTTGGACAATGAATAAGGAAGACCATGAAAGATTTGGTGCATTTGAGTTATAGTATTAGAGAAGAATATTAAAAGCACCATGGATTGCAGGAAGAACAAACAAATCTGTGTTGAAAGAAGTATAGCCAGAATGTTCCTTAGATGTCAGGATGGTGAAATTTCATCTCTCATACTTTAGGCATCAGGAAGGACCAGTCCCTCGTGAAGGACATTATGCTTGGCAAATTGGAGGGCCAGTGAAAAAGAGGGAAATCCCTAACAAGTTGGATTGTCACAGTGGCAGCAGCAATAGGTTCAAGCATAAAAACAATTGAGGATGGCACAGGACCAGGTAGTGTTATGTTCTGTGGTGCATGCAGTTGATATGAGTTGGAGCCAACTCAACAGTAACTAACAACAATAACAGTGCAGTCCCTGGTTGGTGCAAATGATTAATGGACTTGGCACCTCAGAAGAAAAGCTGGTGATATACTTCCAAAAAATCAG